TTTCAATGCTGAATGTTATTATATGTATATTAGGCGACTGCCGAATATAAGCATGACTGGGTATGAGAAATGAATGCTTGTCTATGTATGAAGGCCAGGTGTAGTTTAAACAATGCAAGAACCTCTAGAGCGACAACGTAAATAGCAGGGTGAATGTGACCGTGGACTGTTAGTCAGATTACGTTTATTTAACGTCTTACAGTAACCCATGGTCGGCGCGGATACCCACGTTGTTATTAGAAGCTCACTCTTCCGAGTTCATATGCCTTCTATGTACCCACTGAGGCATTGACTGAATATGGTGTTGACTGAAAAGTAGAAGACCCCGTCTCACACAATCCTCGAAGTTTCTGCGTCCAAGTTGATATCGTTCAAAACCAGGATGATCATGTTCGAGGAAACTGAGATCCCATTCCTAAACTCCAAGATTTCCGGGTCCCACCCCCGTGGAATGAGTGTAGAATGAATGGTGGTGGGACCATCATAAAGTGGGGTGGTCCCATCGTCTCAACAGGAAGTGAGATGCAGCGTAAAATTTGACATGTATAGCGTCGATTAGCGGAACTCACGAATGTGGGGCAACTGCTCGATACCATTCGCAGCTTAAAGATATCCAGGAAGGCTTTCGATCAGTCGTCCAAAAGCGGACAAGGTGGGCTCGTTCTGTTCGTGTACATAGAGTCAACGAACTTCTGCAACAGCCTAGGCCCAACGTCGAAAGGTTGAACACTTACCGTGTTCAACCTTTCGACAGCACGCTCCAAGACCGCTGGTCGTTGGGCTGTGTAAGTGTGGCCACAAGGATCTCAGTCGCTCGGGGTAGGAGTATTCTCTGTTCCATAATGAAGTTGTTGAAAGTATGAGCCGTGGCGCAGTTAGTCAACGTTTTCGCCATCATTCAGTATGGGGAATTTCGAGCGCTTCCCGGGTTGGAGAAGACCCTTCCGCACGCGTAGTTATCCAAAAACCAATATTGGCAATTTCCTTGCGTTTCGGGACATTGACCTTTTCCTTGAACTTTTGGTAATCTAAGAAGCGAAGAAAATTTCCAGCTCTAAAAGGTCGCATACGATAGATAAGTACAGGTAGAATCCATCATTGAGGTCTACAAGGTTGATCAATTCTTAGCCACGTTCTCTTTTCCGTCATCGCAGATATTGACTTGATTCTTCATCTCGAACTGTCCCCTACGATGGGTTCAGTGAAAAAGATGAGTTGGTTAGACTAATGCACGTGCCATACCAACTTCTTACTGGATGGGACTGGTACAGGGCAGTGTACAAATCTAGAACATTTGATAAAGGAACTCCTCTAAACCACCCTAAACATCGAGGTAGTTTAACAACCTTGACAGAACTTGGTAGAGAGACTGTAGTCATTGACCTGTGGGTAGTGGACATGATATGGAAGTAAATGATATCATGTGTAATTATCTTTGGCCGTGTAAATTAACATCATCACACGATATAGCTAGAATGATATCGCATTGTCTTTTGAATTATAAACGAATACTTGGCTGAATAGAGATTATAAAACCTCACATTGTAAAGATAATATATTTTATGTAAGTCAAAAAGTCTTGATACATGATCTAACTAAGACTCATAAATTAGTAATTGTGTGTGATACAATTAATAATAAAATTTAGTACTTGGAAGGTTCAAAAGCCTCAATGAAAGTTATTGTAGAACTGGATAATATCAATAAAAAATTTACATATAGTATAATATAGATTTGTTATATATATTGAAATTCAAATCTATTATTTTACAACTCTATCTTTCATGGATAAACAAAATAAAATATTATATCATAAGATGCTAAAAATATATATTGCAATGTGTGTTTAATTAGTAAATTTAGCATATTTAGCCTACTTCTTTCCTTAATTCAAATGAATCTCTAAATGAATTGAATCTTGTATTTAAAGATCATTTCTCATCATTATTATGATTAAAATTAAATCATTTTCAATTTCATCAATGATTTTTATCAACAATTTTTCTTGTTCAATATGACTGATTCTAGACCATCATCACAATTATCATGTTATGAGTGTCTTGCACACTAGACAAAAAATCATACAAGATAAAATCAATCAAAACTGATAAAATTAAATCTAGTATGTCATTGCAGAATTCAGATTGAGTTCTGAAAGTGAAATTCTTATGTACAATGCATTCACAAGAACATTTGTGCTTAAAGTTAGAACAAAGCCCAAACTATTTTAAGTTTCAACTTATTCATATCATTTATTCAACATAACCCTAAACTTTGAAAAGTTTCCCATAAGAAGCCCTGATTCAAGCTCTGTCCCTTGAAACCATGAATCTCCTAGTGTTGATGTTGCTCCTAAAAGCAAGCTCTAATACACTCTTAACCCGAATTGTTATATTGGATCTTGTCTATGAGTGCCTACCGACTTAGGAATGCGAAGAAATTCTGAAGAAAACTGCGGAAATTGTGTAATTTCTTCAATCAAATGGTTATTTCAGGCTTCAAGTGCAGCCACATCATAATTTTTTTATAAACCAATGTAAATCTCCAACCAAAAGATAAATCTGAATGTGGTAGCATGTAAAAAAATCAGTTATAAAACCTTCACTGGAGTAGAGTTTTTCCAGGCTCGTTCAAATGAGAACGGGATATTTATGCAACTCATGGCTTTTTATATTGAAAGATCATCGCTAAATGCAAGGTCCAGATGGATCATGTAAAGAAACTTTTAAAATGCATAGAGAAACTCCTATAGGCGAGAGTTTCATGGGTTATTTCAGCGCTCATGTGAAGTTTACGTGAAATGTTGATGAGAGAAGAATTCATGAAAAGGAGTAGTGAATGAGGAGTTTTCGGACATTCCAGAGCGGGGACGGGTAGAACGGTGGTTGAGAGATGATGGTATAAAGTGGGGTCACAAGAAGGTACATTAGAGAGAAAGGTGTATGCAATGGATTCCCTTTTAACTCTCTTTCTCTACCCCGGATTCGGATTCGGCCAAAAAGTTGAATTAACTTTTGCCTTCTTTTGATATTGACTGCATATTAAATTGTTTAGAAGGTTCCAAGTAAAACCGAAAGGATAACGTTCAGGAGTTTCTCTTTCCTAAGCTTTTTGAGAGCAAAGGCTCTTTAAGATAATCTTGAGTTTAGCATTTTCATAAACTAATGATGACTGACTGTAATGCAGAGATGGAATATATTTACGAATGCTATTGAATTATGTGAATACACTTGATACATTTTGTTCTTCTAAAAATTTCAAGCAAGATTTGCTATTTTAAGAAGTAGCCAAGGTTGGTCAAAAGAAAGCCTTGATTTGGAAAATAGTGATATCTGACAGCATACAGCGAAAAAAAAGTCAAGCTTTTGATTATAACAGTGAATCAGGGTGCAAGAAGAATCGATGAATCTGAAGAATGAAGTCAGAATAGAAAAATTCTGAAATACAATTGGTGCTCAACGTAGAATGAAGTCATAGTAGACATATTCTGAAAAAAAATTGTTTCTCAACGTTGACTTCACGTAATATTAGGTGTCGTTTCGTGTTTTTTCACGAAATTTCGTGGTGTTTCTCGTGGTTCGTTTGGTGGTACGTGCCAGCAACTTCTCCTCCGCATCTTCTTTTCAAACAAAAGTAATTATAAGGACCAGTTTACAAAAGGGTATGATGGGTTGGAGGTTTTTCGATCGAAGAGAATAATCTTTGTTTTTTTATCAAGGTTTGGATGCGATAAATTGTTGATTCAAAAAAGCATACAAAGATCATACTACAGGTCATATTTATATTCTCTTTCTCTTTGCCGTGCATGCACATGCATTAGGTCGTTTCTCTTTTCCATACTTAATCCCATTGGCAGTCTTTAAAGTCATTCTCCTTTAACGATCCGAGTTGGAGATTTCCGAGGAAGATATACCCTATATGGGTAGATTTCATTACCGACAAATGTCGATTGTTTTAGGTATTGAGATATAATTTGAGTTTCTTCGATTAAGTAAAACCTGATAAAGTATCCCAAGCAGCACGTGTTCGCAAGTTGATGATCAATGCAGTCATAGATCCCTGGGCAAGAGCGATGAAAAAAGCTGCTCGAGTATACTAGACATAGCTTCTGGAATAAAAGGTCGTGGTTGACTTATTATTAAGTTGAAACTCGAGATACAGAAGAAAGAAAAGAAATAGGCAGAAGAAGAAGCAGTGTAATACGGTTATTCATTCAGGGTTTTTGGTGTCTGGAAACGCATTGAAGTGATTATACTGTTACCGACATGTAGATAATAAGTTTTAAAAAACATTCCAACTTTATGTAGTTGATTTGCATGCTTAGTTGTTTGAGATACCTATCCAAAAAGGTTTACTGTATCAAATATAAGAATACAATATCATCTGTGAGATCAAATCATATCGGTTATAAGTATGAACTGATTTTAATATAGATTACCACATTATAACTTCAGCTAGACTGCGAACAATTTTGTTAGCTGGAAAGCATTAGTCGGTGCTTACATTTCTGTATAAATGTTAGAGCCACGTGTTGTAGAGGAAAATCGTGTGTTGACAAACCCGTTGAAGTCATTTGCTGTACCATACGAGAACGAGACAGAGAGAGAAAGACAAAGTTACTCGAGGCGTACTTTGCCGGGCATCCTTGTAGCAGGTCATATTCTAAAGCAGACAGGGACAATCCTCGTCCTTCGTCAACTCGTACCCGATTCATTAATTACGTTTGCTGCAATCCCAGTGGCCTACTGACGACGACCAGAGTGCTACGTCTTCCTCGGAGGAGAAATCACCTGCACCAATAGTCTACCGGACCGAGATTGAAAATGTTGATCGAACTTCTTTTTGAAAAAATCCTGCCCTTGGAGAAATGTTCAAAGCTAGCCCGAATGAGTCTTCGTTCATCCCAGCACTGCGCCAACCGGAACGTGGCTTCCACTCAATGCTCCTACCTATATAAAGCGCCCAAGACATCCTTCGAAGTCGGTAACTCGTCTTGCAGGTTACTGGGTTGGTTGTGCCTCCTCTGGCGGAACGCAGTGCCATACATGGCCCCTCCGAACAAGATACACATTACACCTAAGCTAGATATGCCTCGTAAGGCACTTATTTTCGCAAATTCCAGAACAGGAGATGCAGTAAACTCACATCCACAATCGTCGAGGGGGTTTTTAGCTGTCTGTACAATCTGAAGCTCAGGTTCACCGGGTTCGGAGTCTGATCTTCACGATCAAGCTGAGCGCGGACTCCAACGTTCTCGTGGAGCTCCTGAACTGCCAATCTAGGTTGCGCGCTGCGGTCTAGTTGAAGATGGCAGACACGAACGCCAGCACCGTCTTCAGCTACATGGACGACCCCTGGTCTTGGAGTCTTGGAACGACCAGTTTAATCGTCGCAGTGGTGGCTGTAGTGTCCATCGGCGTGCTCAACGCCGGGATGAAAAGGAGGAAGTACAATATGCCACCCGGTCCGCGATCCTATCCTGTGATTAAAAATATGCTCGAGATGAGAGGGGGTGAAATGCAGGAGAAGTGGTGGAGCTTGTCGCAGACTAAGAACTGGCCCGTCATGAGCTTCTACTTTACCAGTAAGCCGATTATCATCGTGAGCTCTCCGGAGGCAACGAAGGAGATGCTGGTCACGAAGGGTAATCTCTTCAACTCCCGGGACAAGGATACTTATCTCAACCTAGGCCTGAGGATGAGCCCTGATGGCAAATCCGAGAGAGGAGCTCTTTTCACGCCGCACGGTCCTGCGTGGAAGATAACTAGGAAAATCATGGTCGCAGGACAGAATGAATTTAAGAAGATCATGGGAGACGATTACGTCGTGAAAGTTCTCTTGCCAAAGCTATACGAAGAAATTGACAGCGAGGTTGCGATCAATGCTCGTATTCGAGTCGCCAAAATGATGGTAATCAGGATATTGATGGTGTTCGTCTTCGGACCCGGAGCGGAGCAGTACGCCGATACTATTGTTCCTCTGAACGATGACCTATTCCATGTCATCGACACCAACAACGCAATAGAGTTCTTTCTCCCATTTATTGCGAGGCCAGCATCCTGGGTTTATTACAGGCTGTACCAAAAGGGTCTCGTCGCTCGAAAGCACAAGGCTTACGAAGAAATTCTCTCTCAACGGGGCATCAAGTGAGTGGATACTTGAGTAATTTTTGGGTGTTTCTTTGCTGTTTCCATCCTACTATGCATGTTAGAAAGAAGGGATCGTACATGAGACCTGTTGTCTACGATGGTCTATCTGACTGAGCGTTCAAGTCCCCGGCTTCGCATATTGATGCTCCCGAAGTACTTCTGGGAATAGTTGTATCAGATGTCAGAGTCTTTTATTCCTTCTTCGTGGTATCCGAAGAAGATTCCAGACTGTTGTTCCTACCTGGATCAGAGCCAATTGCAGCAGTCAATCAGAACGCGTAGTTTGCTTTGAGATTCCCACTGGAACACTCAAACTGTCGTTGAGAGAGGATGTCACCAATCTCGAATTCTGCTCACCTGATGGTCGTAAATATGTGATTCCAGGTATAATCTGAAGAACGAATGGTCTCTGAGTGATATGGTTCAAGAAGCTGAGAGGACTGGCGAGATCAACCGCCATCAAGCACTGCAGATATACGAGGAGTGCTTCTTTGGCGGCCAAGACACGACTGGTGGTGCAATTGAAGGAATTCTGAAAATGATAGTTGAGAATCAGAGAATTCTCGTGAAGGTGCAGCAAGAGATGGACGAGGTGCTGGGTGAAGGACAGGAGTTCAGACACCACGACGTGGAGAGGCTGCCATATTTCCAAGCACTTATCAAGGAGGGCCTGCGACTGCACCGAGCTATTCCGGTGCTGACACCCCACTGTGCACATGAGGACACAACTCTCGGAGGCTACGACATTCCGAAAGATACACTGGTGACGGTGAACGTTTGGGGTCTAGCTCGAGACCCAGTGTCTTTCCCCGATCCGTACGAAGTGAAACCCGAGAGGTTTCTTGGAAGAGACACGAACTTTAGCGGTAATGACTGCAAGTATGTCGTCTTCGGCGTTGGGCAGCGTATCTGTCCAGGTCAAACTCTGGCTCTATTCATGGTGAACATGCTAGTCGGAAGCCTGTGCAAACGGTACAATTTTGCTCTAGCCAAGGACTGGAAGCATGAACGTGACGCAGGCACCTTCTTCAAGGAGGTAGCTCTGCACCTGAATCTGACCAGACGCCATGCTTCCACTCATTGATTTCCCAGAAGTGGATTTGCAACTTCTCAGATCCGCCATTCCTTCGCGGGGCTTCCCTTGGCCTTGGCTTCTGTTCGCATAGATCCGACATCGTCACCCGCATTAACTCGATTGCTCGTCAAGAATACAGTGGGATATCGCAACTGACGTTTTCTTCCATTTCCTACCCGCAATAGTTGCTGGTTGCACATACACCTTATTCACCGAAACAAGTAGTGCAGAAGTAGAAGCCAGTAAATACGCCAATCCATCGTTCGAACGATGTTCGAGTTTTGAATCCTTATCTACAGTCTTGAAATTGGTTCTGTTCTGGCAGTGTGTTTTCCCCGGATGTAAACATTTAATCTGTTGTAGGATGAATACCCCCTATGCAAGACTCCTCGACATGAAGGCTTCTAAATTTCCGCTTGAGGTAACCTATTGTCCGTTCCTTCAATCACGTCCATGCATATGTTTCTATTAATAGAGTTCCCTTGGATTAGATTCAGTTAACATGAAGAACACAATTTGGAGGTTCTCAGAATCATTAAAAACTACCTGTAGAATCTCCATTTGAATTATGGCGAAAATGACTAGACTCGTCTGACCAAGTATCATGTAAAAATTCCTGCGAAATTTTCGTAAAGTATTTGAATTTCTTGATTGTTCGAGAAGAAACAAAGTGTGTATTCAAAGTGAACAACTTTTTTCTATGATTATACGAAGTTAAAGTATTGTTTGCAAGTATATTCTCATGAAGGAATCTGAAGTCATCAAAAGCAAGTGAAGTATAGCAAAGCATAATAGCACCGAGATGATGGATAGATCCCTTGCTTTGGTCCTTCAGGAAACCCCATGTGTTAAGACTATTAGATAAATGTTAAATGGTAAATGAAGTATGAGTCTAGATGATCCTTGTCACTTACCATGATAGACTGCTATGTTATCTCTGAAAATTTGCTTCTATATCCTTTTGTTCTTTCGATGTTAGAGAAGCACATAAAGTACTAATTTGTGTATACCTTGTTCTCATTTGCCACCCATCTAAATAGATGGGTTATAATTCTTGGTAAAATTATGTTGTTCATAGTTTTGTAACTAGAAATCTATTTTAGTGAGAATATTAGCAATGTCATTGCATGATAAAGATGGATAATCATATTTTCATATTTTTTATTTATTTGCGTGTAGAATTCTAGAAGTATCGATATAATTATCGAGTATATGTATGACAATAGATAAAATAATTACCTTCCTTACTCTATTGTCTTGTGCTGAATTTTGTCAATAATTTACGCTATGAGTGACTACATAACACAATCATATTGTTTCTTTTGAGTAGTATTCAAGTGATTTACTTTAAAGCTCCAATACTTTTTAGAAAAAGTATCCAGCTTGGTATTATTTTACGTAGATGTGAAAGCATAAACCTTAAAATGAAAAATTTTCAAATCACTTCAATCAATCATCTCTTTGCATCTCAGTTCAAACAATGTCAAAAAAATGATTACATTAGAAGGAAAAAGGTTTACCAAGTATAATATACTATAGACAAATTTAGCCCAAAATTCATATTGTATACCAGATTGACTCAACAGACTTCATAACTTCTTCAACACTCTTTGATTGAACCTCTTGAAAACTACGTTATACTGCGGAAAATGAGATGAATGAGATGACAATAATCTTTTCTTCCTTGCAGTAATTTCAAAACTATTCAAAAGTATACTCTTTGCCATTATCCGTAAAGAATTATTTAGTTTTTATCTAATCTAAGTTTCAACTTGAGCTTTCCAACTTCTAAAAGTTGTAAACATCTGTTACTTGTGTGTGAAAAAATATATCCATATAAATCTTGACCAACCATCATTTAAAATAAATAGTTTAACTTCACAGAGAGTGAGACTTTTGAAGAGAGTCCTCACACGTCATTATGTACATAAACAAATAACTTCTTAGAACTATGAGTTTCAACATCAAAGGTTTGTCTATGATCTTTGCTCATATGAAATTTGGGTGAGATCTCTTGATGCTGCTTACCTTACTCCTTTTGCAAGTCACACTTTTTCATAGGGTGATTATCGGATGTGGTGACTTGATCTTGAAAGTGAAATGTGGCTGAAAGCGATTGGGATTTGCAACCAATGAATTTTCGCTAACATCTACTGGATAAATTATTCAACATTATTTTGAGCACGTCAGACATCAAAATGCAATTTTATCAATTTCTTGTTAATCCTATGCTTCTATATTGTGAAGAAGAGTATTTATTTGCGGGGATCTTTACTATCTTACGTCAAATTATCACACGACATAGAACATGATCCCTTAGGTTTGAAATTAATGAAGGACTTTGTTTTAATATTGATATAAGTGAAAGAATCCGGAATTTATGTGACAATGAAAAAATGAGTATGAAGAGCATGTGTTTGTTACAAGGTATGAAAATATCATACTAGCTCATAGAATAAATTTTGAGAAATTCTATTCTTTACTACACCTAGTTTCTTGTGATTTAAGTTGTTATTTTAGGCGGGTCATTATTCATAGTTTTAGTGCTCTAGACTCTAGTTAAGGATTGTTCTTTAGAATATTTTCAGTAGTAAGTGAATGTTTGATTTGTAATGTGTTTCTCATAGTCTTAGCACAAGCCTATATATACTCTCTCTAGCAGAACATAGATTTTGCTTCTCATGTTCACATCACGCTTTACGTAAGAAGCAAACCTTTGCGCAAGAAACCTCGGTGAAAAGTCATCTGGCACGACCCTGGTAAATGGTATCATGTTAATGATACCATTTAGAGAATGTGTGTATAGTTGGAAAGTCTAATACTGTCAAAGAGCTCACTCAATCTGTTTATTCGGAACGAAACTCACGACTGCAGAACGAGTACCAGCGGTCCTGATATTGTGGTCTTCTGACACCAGTCAACTTTATCTCGGTTCCTGTGGAAAGACGTAATAGGTGTTGTCAATTCCTTCAAGTTCAACATGACTTTCTTTCAACGCACTTCAATCAAGGTGCTGGCTCCGAGGTCCATCTCGACGGCCACTTCAACAATGGAGGTTTTGTCGGCACATATCCAGAGACATCCTTTGAGGATTAACCGACAATTTCTTTATTCACGTACAGTATCGAGGTAATGGGCACCAGATCAATTGAGTACTAAGTGTAGTATCCTGTCAAATAGCTCAGTGTTGTGGAGTTCGCGGAGATTGATTCATTAATTCTAAGTCGGCGGTGGTTATTGTGACGAGGTTAAATGAAGACTGCTAATTTTTCTTATGCTTTGCCTTTAGTCTTTCAATTTGTGCTTTTTATTATTGAACTCTATGTTCATAAAGATATGTGATTTTCGCTTTTCCAAGCTCTTTTGACTACTTCCCACATCATGCTCGTCTCTAGGACGAGATTCTTAAGCTGTATAGCACCGGATGTGTGCTAGGAATATTGTTAGTGGCTTTTCTTTCTCAACCAGTATTCAGCCTTTTTTATCGTCCAACTATCCTTATTCACATCAGACTACTCAAGTCTATGTGTAATCAAGTATGCGGCCATCTCTATTCTAGTGGCTTATCAGCCACTAGAATGTCGTTGCTTGTTGAATAAAGCTGCTTGACCAATGTAAAGCCCTATTTCTCCTTCGGCTCTTCTCATGAAAGATAACTAAGAACTCGAATTGTCCTCGAGCTGCAGTATCTGTATCGAACCTTCAGACTTAAGTTACTTCAGACTCGATTTGACCTCAGTTTCGGTGTAGAGTACAGGTAACTGAAGTCTGCACGGGAACTTCATGTGTAATGATCTGTTAGACTCGAGTTTGGGACAACATTTGGGATTGTGATTTTCGGACATGATTTGCTTAGCGATACTATTTTATAATTATTACTTTCCGGACATACTAAAGTGATACATTATTTAACCATCAAGCTTCCAGCTTTTCCCCAGCGTACATACTTCCATTTATTATGCACGTCTTGCGCGTGGACGCTACTTCTTGTCTCTTGTTACCATTCAGAGTCTGAGATAAACATCAACTTTAAACACCTTCATCTCTGGAGACAGATTACGTTCCCAGAAGTCACGACGTATGAGAGAAAATAATGAAAAGAAGATGAACCAGACTTCCAGACCATCCTCCAGAATTTGAACGTACACACAAATTTCACTTCCATCAATTCCAATCGTATATGAACATCCTTCTCTGCAGCTACAGATGTGGAACCCGCGCGAACCAGTATATAGTGTAGTGAAGCATGTCGCTTGACGAGAATTTGTGATGTTGCAGCTAAGAGGTCTAAAGAAGTTTTAGAGACCAAAATCTGCAATTGAAGCTGAAGCAATCTTTTTTTGTTGTCTTCATCACTTCAATTGCATATTGTGAATATCTGAAGGCAATTTAAGGAGTTATCAAGACAACAGAGAAAGATACTCATCTGCTTGCCAGATATGGGAGACTAAACCTTGGTCAATCGAGGACACCAGAGAGACGGTCCAACCATTCTCGAAAGTAAGATGTGAACTCTGTACTTGAATCGGTTTCCTCATGCTACGAACCTTTAGAGGGCCTTGGCGTTCATTGACATTACGCTTACGATTTACAGAATTTACGATGAAACTTCCAAGCATTTTCACAATGTCTTTTGATCATAATGAGCTCCACTGTTTTGTGGTGTCTCGACAGCGCATCTACTTAGTTCTTTTCCAGCATAGATCGGAGAATTAGAAATCTGTCCAGCTGATTGTCATGTGGAATACAACATGTGTCATGTGGACTATGAATCTACGTTGTTTTGAACTTGACACACTCCGCGAGAATTCTGTGAATATTTCAGAACCCTGACCGTTAGGCCAGAATCAGCCCCTTTCGAATAAATGGAAGCCGGATCTCGGGAACACTGAAGACCGCTGAGGTTGTACGCGCCAAATAAAGAATTATTCCCCGGCTGTTGGGATATGCTCAATTGTCCTTGAATCCTTAAATAAATCAGATGAAAAAGTTGATTTCGGATTTTTACTAATTTTCTTGTAAATTTCAATTTCTTTCCTATGCATTTCAGAAGTCAATATTCAACTTCCAAAGTAAAACTTGAGGTGAAAGATCACTATACGCTGGATCGACCTGAATCAACCATTGGCTTGTGATTGGGCGCTCAGCTGAGCCTATCGAAATAATTCTTCATAAGTATCAACATGGTGGCCTTATTCGAAATTGGAATGATATGGCAGCCTTTCGGGCATGCATGTATGAGACAATCTATCTCTCAAAGAACCACAGCCGTGACAGCGTGACACAGAGTTGGTGTCGATCGCGGACAATTCTTTCGAGAAAGCTCTCGCTATTTACATTCGAAGTGTTCTTGTGATGATACAACCTCACCAGAATTCGCCTCCGTGTTCATGCTCAGCCACGTGTGTGAAAGCTTGTGCCAAATATGCTAGCTTGTCCACCGTGTATGTGGCCCACCCCGCACGTGTTGAACGTGCAGACTTTGATTCGTTCTTTCTGGCTCTGCGAATCTCGAGTTCGAAGGCCATCATTAGTGTGTGTCATACGGGCTGGAACACAATACGCAGATACCTCCTACATCAGGATAATACCCTTGTCTGCTGCAGGGCTAAATTTAACACTGTGAGAAAAGACCGATTACATTCATCTTCTTTCTCCTGAGTTGCAGTTAGCCATAGAGGAATGTCGTCTTGAGGGAAGACTACATTCTTGTATTACAGTACCGTCTTCCCTGAAGACGTCATTGTAATCAGGCATGATTAAAAGAATTTAGGTGTGATATCTTTCTCGGATATCCGATGTAAATTAAGCCGCCGTGTCGCACACCACGCTCGTTGTGTCCCAAGCCGGAACTTTTAGTGATAGTTCGCAGGTGTGAGGAGAAGTTGCAATAACAAAACATTCTTTGAGGTTCTAGTGTGGCAGGACGCAAAAGGCCTCGATTCGAAGTTCGCCTACAGTGCTAGTGATTTTAGATGATAAAGCAGGGACATTGATTGGTGTATATAAGTCGGCCATCCTACGTAGAATTCTCTCTTCCCACACAGCTTTTCCGTGATACACATACAGTAAAGCAGTTCTGTGTTGGTTAAGTACATAATTTGGTCAAAGTCAGTGCAACCATGTGACTTGTGAGTATAGTGTTAAAAGCATCCGTCAAACTCAGTACCAATCTTTTGGCACATTTATTAAAGTGCAAATGTGCTAAAAGGATAGTCACATTTAAAATATAAATATATTACATCTCACATTATCAAATATATGTACAGTAAATTAGGAATTATTATCAGATTTTGACCGATCAAAGCGCTCATTCTCGATGACTTGCAAGGAGTTCCAGAAATAAATCACCAACTCGGAGATATCATTTAAACGATTCAAAGATCGAGTATCTCTTAGACAAGTTGGGCAGGAGGTGTAGACAAATGTGTGCAAAGTAGATTAGGTTTTACACCAAATTAATCTTTCTCTAAAACTTTGTGATTCCAAATAATTAGCGATGTTGCGGATATCATGAATGAGTCTAATGTGACTCGGAACCAAGAGCGTAACAGATTTATAAGTAACCCCAAACAAATTCCTGAAATTGCTGTTGTACGTAGTGTCTGGAGACTACACGGCTCTGCAATTGCCCTAAGTATCCAATTTTATCAGACTTTATCAATTTCATAGGATGGTTATGAAACTGAAGCTAAAGTGGCAAGATTATAAAAAAATTTAATATTACATAGAATGTCAAACATGAAACCCCAAGGGAAAATTTACTAACTGGACACATATAAATTCAAAACAAAGAACTTTCACAAACCATCATACCTGAGGGAGAAAATATGTAGTTCATAAGTAAACATTAGTTACTTATGAATTTGACATAAATCAAGTGACATAAATTTAAATCCTCAAAGGATTTAAATTTGTCTCACTAAGAGTTTCAAAAAGCTCTCTGATATAATGATAAACTAACTAGCTTCTCTAACCAGAATTTATTCCTAACCATCTTCAATTACACTCATGTGTTGGAATCTGTAACCTCTATAATCAATATGATGATTTTACAAAAATTTAAAAATATTTTTTTACATTAACCAATATATAAACTAAAGTGTATCAGAAGTAAAATATGATCAAAAATGAAAAAATAAAGAATTAAATTATAAATACAAATATTAAATTTTCTACTTGATTTAAATTATGTTCCAACTCAAAATGTACAAAATAGCACACTGATTCTGAAAATTAATAAAAATAAAACTTCAATCAAAGTATTATTTGGATTAATTTAAGCTTCAATTTGACGAGTTCAATCTTTATATCAAAATTGCATCTCTTATGAAGTAACATATAATGTCATTATATTTAAGCTTTTTTCCATCATTTGATTTGATACAAGATGAATTGCATGGTAACAGTCAGAATGAATATATAAACTCTCGTGATTTAAATTCATGACAATCATAAGTCTATTCAATCAGAATAGTTTTATTTATTTTATTTTATTTCAATATATTTGATTTTCATTTTTTATTATATTGTACACTTTTTCAAAGTTTATTATTTATTTTATATATTAAAAATAAAATAAGGATGCATAATCTAATAAGGATGTTGCATTATTGGTTAAATCATCAAATAAAACACCATACTATTTAATATTCCTCTAATTTCTCAAAATTTATTTTACAAATTTTCAATGCACGCTTTTTTTATATGCTCATCTTGATCATAATTTAAAGAATTAATTAAAAAACCAGATGCAAAAGCCATCTAAATTTTATAATTAAAAATTGGTTATATTTATTCAATTTTAAATCAATATTATCTTCATAATACTGATTAAATATTCAACAAAATGAAGTTTTTTTTAAGTCTGAAATCTTTTGAATTTTGCAATGTTAAACGTATCAAGCACAGATTGAATTTACTTGCTTTGAATTTAGTACTTTTATATTTATTTTTCAAAATCATATGAACATCTATACCTAATATTTTCTTCAAAATATTCAAAATTTTCAGTTTGAATGCAAATTTTGATTGCTTCTTGCATCCATCAATGTAAAATTGATATTTTGTCAAACTGGAAAACTCATGTCATTCACATAAATTACTTAAAAATTAAAATTAAATGTCTTGTGTATATATATACATACATACATACACTTCATGGAAATCCTTGTGATATTTTAATACCATCAATTCTTGCATTTTATTGTAAAAAGATGATTCATTCCATATATTGATTTTAATTATTTATTAATTAGATTTTTTGACATTAGTTTTCAAAATTTTTACTCCAAAGATTACAGAATAAAACTTGAGTTTTATAAATTGCAGTAAATCTTTGTATAAGTCAAATCATAGCATAATTTGCTAAATATGATAATGTATTGTATTTTTGTAACCCACACCTTTTACTTGCTTGAACATTCTAGCCATTATTTTCATTTTGAAAATTTTCTTATTCTCACAAGTTATATTATCTTCTAGCTATTACATCCATATGTTATAGATTAAAGTTTATCCCTGAATCCATTAATATCCATGTTTTGTTATCAATCACATATCACATTTCAAGCTCTAGAATTAACGAAATTCACTTAACTCTGAATTAATTTCGTTAATATTCTTCTATCATGTATTATCATTGGATTACATGCTATTAATGTTCATAGCTTATATACTCCTCAACTTTTTCCGACCTAGAATAATAAGCTTATGAACTGAATTTTATTTAAGTATCAAGAAAAAAACGTTAAATGAAAAAGTTCAACGAGCATTAGCTCTCCACAACACTAGCATACCAAGAAGACAACATTTTTCAAATGTAATTGCTAACTTGATTTAATTTTCTTCAGATTCAAGATGATTGGCAAAACAACAAAAAATATCCTAATAATTATAAATATTTATTAATATGTGATTTAAATTAAAAATCATCAAAAATCAATTGCTCTAGAAAAATAATGATTTATTAAGTATATTGCAATATAGATTGATTCCATCCAAAAAATGTATGATATACAAGATTTTTTTCCAACATTGATAGATTGAACATGGATAAACAATTGATTGAGAAGTATAAATAGTGTTGAGATAATAAATGAACGACTTATGTTTGCCATTTGTTTTTTTTTTTTAAATGGAAACTCTGCATCATTAATTATGTAGATACATTGTGATTAGTTTGATTTTCAAATAAGATTTTATTTTATTTTATTTTAAGTATCTCAAATTTTAGATTGAAAAAATCAATACTTACATAGCCTTGTATTATCTATCATTGATTATTTTACATTGATAAATAATACAATATATAAATTTTAATAAAAAAAGGATTTGGCATAAATAACTAACACGTGTTTTGCATGTATATAATAAACCTTAAAAAATATCAAAATGTCTTGCTATATAATTATCTTTTAATCTTCATTTATTGTTTTAAATTATTGATTTGTTATTTTTTTATCATAAATACTTTTTAAATTATATTTATCTTCAATAGTTTATTTCTATTTCATAAAAATATGTAGATTTGTATGTACAAAATCCAATATCAATTCCAATCATTTGTTTTATAATTTCAAAACTTTGCTTGTATTTAGAGTAATATGCATATCTTTTTGTATAAAAATCAAAGTAAAATTGACTCTAGTGCTTCAGGCTATTCAAATTTTACCTAAATATGTATTCATACCCAAAGTTTATGTGAGAAATAATATTAGAAAAATAAATATTATACTATTTTTTTTGAGACAAAAGACAAGATCAAAGAAAGCACAATCATCATCGGTGAAATCATAATGCGTTTGAATTTATCTAAAATCGAAGGGACGTGCTCAGTGCGCCGATAGTTTGACAAGCTTGACGTCACTCGATTCCCAACGGGAGCTGTCATATAATACTTGTTTTGCAGATTGTGATGATTGTGAACACTCTTGGTAATATAACAGTTTGAACACCGGGATTCCCATAGGCCGGATTAGCAAATCTAGGCGCCAAGAGAAAGCCACATGGTGAGAGTACAAGATGTCCTAACATTTGGCGATGAGTCGAAAGTCATACTTGGACTTCGATACTTGTTAGTTTCACTTACAGAAGTCTTAAATGACAGTTTTTAGACCTTTCACAATCCTCTATGCTTCTCTAGAATATTGCAAATACTCCAAGACAGGACATATATCTATCGCCAATGCCCGTAGCTGGCGTTTTCTGCACAAATGTTCGAATATCGGTGACTCAAGAAATTTTCCTTGTTTATTGCATTTCATTCGAAATGTTTTATTATCGACCTTGGATACAATCAAGTACCGCTAGTTAACAAAACAGCCTCCTTTGGCCTTTTATAACTGAGGACGAGGTCGAAATGATATTACCGGAAGGGATAAATCTCGTCAGCCAAAACGGAAGATTGTTAACCTCAACCTAATTGAAACATTAGTCCTTCTTATTCATAGTTGCATACTTCAGATTGTAATTAAATTAATCAATCACATAGGGCCAAGGTACTGACGTTAAAAGGTTTCACAACTTTTGCACCACCGGTCATAAACATTTGAGCGAGCAGTCCATAGGTTTTTTCCGTGGGATGGTTGTTGTCAAAGAAAACATACTTGCTCAGTTGAGCTTTGCTGCACAGAGTAGTGCTATTAAAATTGGAATTGGTCGTTCCACACTGAATAGCGCCATTGAAAGGTCCTGCTCCACAACATGCCGTCGACCCCATCGTAAAACCTACACGTACACAAAAAATGCAGCGGTTGGAATGTACTGTTGGGCATCACTGTTCCTAAAAGGATTCAATTTACAAGCAAACTAAATTTTGAGTTCTATCATCAGCAGGTACAAGCATCGAGAGAAGACAAATTGAAAATTTGCTTGACTCTCATGCTACCAAAAACACATCAAAGTGATCTTCGCCTGCACAAGTTTTGGGTGCATCCCTGCATGACTAGATTTGTCTAGAGTTTTATGCGCATGCATCACTAACATCTGAAGTTCTTCATAGTTCGAATACTAGAGCAAAGAAGGGCAACTCTCTCATTTGTGCAGTAAGGCTGACTCTCTGATAGACTGATGTGTTCTGAAAACCGATATGTTAGTCTATTGAACTAACAAATATCAGTTTATCTTCCTGTTCAGTGTGGAGACTTTTCCCAAAATCGAAATTTCGATTTGATAACTAGACATTGACTGTGAAGAAATTCAGAGCGTATTTATGAGCTGTAGTGTTTGCACACAACCGTACCGAAACTTGTTCCATTAAAAATGAATTCGTTGAAAATGTCATAGTTGTTGGCAATTATTAAATTGAAATCAGGCAGCTGTTCTTTCAGTCTAGCTTGAAGAGCGTCTAGCTGGACGTTAAAAGCAAGCGCCAAATCGTTGACAGTCGCCAGGCATGAACCACCAGCTGATAGACCACGGATGCTCGGTATACATCCTATCGGCCCCAGGGCTGTTCCAATCACCTTTCTGGCACCGAGGTTATATAAAGCCTGGATGAACAAGATTTACCGAGACCACACAGAACCCACTGGATTAGGCGAACTCGCAAAATATTGTTTAGAATCATAATCTTTGCAAAGACTCTGTCGAGTAGCCAGGCATCCTGATCCTATATCTGAACAAGCCCTGTGAGTGAGCTACAATATAATAGTTTACAAGTAATGCATTCACGTCGATTCCTAAGATATTACCAAAAATTATTCATCAAGGAGACGGTTGAAACTAAGATGAGATAGAGAGGACTTACAACGTAGGTGTTCCCGATCTCGACAATCAGTCGAGAGATGAAGTCCTCAGGTGTTGTGGTTTGATTGAGGAGGAAGCTGTAAATAGCATCATTGCTCGCAGAACTTACCAAGTAGATGCTTCGCTTCAGTAAGAAACTCGTGTCTTTGAGGCCCATTCTAGATTCCAAGTTTGCTTTGACCTGCATGAACTGCTGGAGCTGCTCTTGAATGTTTACGACTGTACCTAAAGTGCCAGCCAGCTGACCACGAACAAATGCATCGGACATATATAACATCTGAGTCAATGCCAAGCTGAGACTGACATCATCGCCCTGATATTAATCCACGACTTCCTAGATGACAACTACAATGGAGATAAATAGATGAGTGTGAAATTAATGTGAATCATGTTTTACATGCTCTTAGACTGGACCTGAGGCTTACAAATGTTTTCGTGGATGGTAGAAATCCACTGCCTGCAGAGGCGAAATTGACCCCTCTGTAGTAGTTGTTAAATCCAGGTTCCAAAAATGGTCGGAGTAGAGGCAAACCTAACTGCTGAGCTGTAACACCACAAAGATATTAAGAGATATTAGTACTTAGTTTATTGCATATTATTGAAATTTGAACATGCCAAGATGAGATTGAGCATGCACTAAGCGTACATTCACTTCAATTTACAACAGTAATGATATACTTGCATATAGAGGGCGCCACTTTATAAAGTGGTATGCATCCTTCCAAAACAAATACGGCTGTCAGGAAAACATAAGCTTCAAGCTCAGAACAAACCCAAGAAATCGACAAACAACCGTCCATCGCAAAATCTCCCCGTGGGCTTGTTGAAGAAGGTCTCTCCATAGGGTGAGAAGTTCGCGAGAAATGCTGGAGAGGTAAGATATGTATTGGTCCCCGTATCAGCAGTCGAGTCCCCAAAACAGAAGAGCGCTGAGACCAAAGGTCTCAGCACTCCATTGGCATCACATACCGGAAAAAATGCTGCGATCCCCAGCAAAAGGATACAACAATGCATCCATGAGGTCAGTTGTTTATTATTTGCAGATTGTGTTGACAGCGTTGGTAGATATCTCGCCATAATATGTATATATCTGTTGCAGCCTTCTGCTGATATGTAGAGCTGAAAATTAAAACAAGGTGATGAAGTGGTTTTACGTGGACAGCAGTTTGAAGCCGAAAGTTCACCGATGTCTCCTAGGCCACTTTGCGAGTCTTACCAGCTCTATCTGTTTCTTCTCAGATGTAACCTTTGGTGGATATCTTTCGGAATATCTCTCTGCAAGTTTTCCCAACTGAAGTTTCGAAATGCCTCAGATCTCCGAGAATTCATAAACGTTACCAGCTCAGACAGCAGGGTCACATGTGTCTAACGACTCCGACCCTTATGATCATGAAGATGTACGAGGTACAACACAAAGGCAAAGAGTACAAAACAGAAACGAGTCTGCTGGGAGCATAGTAGAGAAGTGTCTACATCTGTTTCTTTGTTTCTATTTATATGTCGAGCAATACTTCACCTCTAAATTGATATTCACAGTTCCAGCCGACGTCTGGCGAGGTCAAAAGCTGGCAGTGGAAAGAATCTTCAAGATCAGCACCAGCATGGCTCTCCAACTTCGAACCCAAAGTAGCGCGTTTAGGGGCTGAGTTGAAGAGCAGAGTAGTAAACCTCAACACAAATTGATTCTCCGTCAAATATGTAGGCCCAAAAGGTTGTGATCGTCATGAATATGCATAGTCCGCTAATTTTATTCAGTAATTCACACGCAATATGGCACCAACCTTCGTAGCCATGTCACCATTAATGATCCAGATTAGTCCTGTCTGTTCAATTCTTATGAGAGAAGAACATTAGAACTTTCGATAAGTTTATTCTATAGTATTTTAATCTGACCGCTCGAAGAAGTGGATATGTCATATCCTGAAAGAGGATTCTTTGGGTTGTGCCCACCTCTGTGCTTCAGTCATATGCGTCTGTGTTCACCTTTCATGCTGTTCAGCGGCCAGAAGTTGGGCACCACAGGTACCGCTTCTTACTTATGGTGTAGTTCTGCTATACTATTCTTTTCATCACCAGTATGGTAACGTACCCTATATTAGTCCTCTGAGCTTTAACCATAATCTTCTAATCATTGTATCCCTCTGATCACTAAGTATGGTAGCCTACCCATTCCCCCTGTTTGAACTTTGTTCAATTCAGGAACACCTGCAATTCCATCTCCAACTGAAACCACTCGACCGATCTCGATCGACGATAAATTTGGTGTGATAGTTGGTTGTTTTTTTTATAAAGTTCAGTTTCAGATCCAGCCAATATATGTATGATGAATGAAAACATCGACTGATCCATAATTCGGCAATCTGAACCTATATTAGTCCTCTCTGTGTTTTGATCATAATCTTCAAAGCATATGTTAACCGTTGATGGGGTAGGAATATCTTATGTGCAGAAACTATTTTTAAGAGCAAAAAAATCCACCTAAGAAGAGCATCATCATTTGGAATATCCAGATTCATGTAATCAGATCATTTGTCCGATGAACGAAATCTGGACCAAAATTGTAGGCGATAATTGAAACAAAGGGATAGATCTAAGCAAGCAACCTCCAGTCGAACTGAAAAACATCTCGTGAAGGACTTCCAAATACGTGAGAATCAGTGCAAACAGTCGTTGACCAGAGCTGGCTGACACTATTTCGATCATTACGTATAACGTAGATTACAGTTGATCTCGAGTGCAACACCCTGTCCTATCGTCTCATTCTTCATGATTAATCTAGCAATGCCAAAGGTGGTCTGCAAAATTTGCAGCTACACGTACAGCCCGACCGACAATTTGGCGACAGTGAGCAGCATTAAGAATCTGGACTTAACGGTTTACAAATAAAGAATCTCACTCAGCAAGTATTTCTAGTGGTCGCACGTTTCTTCCCTATACGAAACGTTTCATTTGTTCTTGTTAGAAGGTTCCATCGGTGTATCGCCAGTCCTTTTGCCGAGAGACATTTTGCTCCATCCAAAACGTAAAATGAGCACGTGATTTTTTAAGCAACATGACCATTGTGTACTGGGTCTTGTGCCAAACTAGTTCGTGACCACCGCTCCAAGAAAGCTCGAGCTACTTCCATGTTCTGACGACCCCCCTCTGTGCATAAAGCCTGCCCTGCTTTGCTCTCCTTGATGTTGTAGTCCACAATGTCGAGGATGTGCTGTTTCTACATACCCTTGTTGCGAATCATGCGAGATAATTCTGCATGCATGCTCCCAACGCTACATTCTTTTCTGGGTTGATTCGGTCCACAGCTTTCTTACTCAGATCGTCCTGTAGCTCAGTACTTGTGTGCCTTGAGGACTTCAGGTCGATCATTCTAAAGACTGAGCTAAATCGACTTGGACGTCCAAGTCAGTTGGAGAGAAGAGAGCAAATCAATGAACGTGCACACTAAGAGTCGATTCTAAAGGCCTAGCATCGAAAGCAGCACCACCGGCTGCTCTCCATATTTCGACTTTGCCTCGAGGTTTAGAGTACGGTTCAAAGCAGCGTATGATCCGGTGGAACTGCCCTAGTGGACAATTTATTTGATCCATACGGCCTTTATAACATTAAATCAACATATTCGTCGAAACTTGAATCATATTTTTTACTTTCTTAAATCTCTTAAGATATTCCAAAAGTTTTATTTGTATATAACTGAGCATTCATTTGGGTATTCACAGAAATAATATTTTAATGGTAAGATTTTTATATTTTTCAAAGGATTTTTTGATTCTTAAAATTTATTTATCTTTAGACTTCGATTTTTTTCTAGGTCTTAATTGTATGTAACTTCTTTTTTAATTTATCCCTATATCTGAAATTTACTCTAGATACGAAATATATATATATAACAAAACTTAACTCAGTCTATGAATATTATGACCTTAAATCACATTTAATTATATATTGTATGAAATAATAAAATCTAAAAAATTATTATAGTTTCATGTAAATTTTCAATCAACAAAACATTTATATATCTTTGTTTTGAATGATCTTATGTGTGCCATGATAAAGCAATACATATAACAATGATTAATCATTGCCATTTATACTGTTTTATCATGATCAATAAGATGTATGTAATGAGCTTAAGAGATGTAATAACTTATTCTCATCATTTATTTTTTCTCCAAAATTTTGAAAATCAGTAAGAATTATCAATTAAGAGCTGATTGAACTTCCTAAGAATTAACCTTTGATTGATTGCAATTGATGTACAAACTGATAACAGTCTCATAGGTGATGAGAATAGTATTTTCAATGCCAAGTTGGTGGCTAGAGTTTTTACACAAGAGAAATATTCGTAAACGTTTCTTGAGCTGTAGCAAAATATGCTACAATTCATCTGGTATATTCACTAGTTGCAATATTGAGTCTTGATATTGATCAAATAGACGTAATTATAGCATTTTTTATGGATCTTTAGAAGTAGAAATTTACATGAGACAACCATTTAGGTAGAAAAGTCAAGAGAATTTGATTTTAAGATTCAGAAAAAATTTCTAATATTTACATATGAAACCATAAAATTTTGGATTTTAAAATAAAACACTAACATATGAAGTGTTTGTATAAAATATTATAAAATTGTATATTATGCAAGTGACGCTTGCAATTCATAGATATATTTTTTTGTATATCATCATTGATAACCAAAAAAATAATAAGAAACTAAGAATATTTCAAGCTCTTAAAATTTTAAGTATGTCTTATCCACAATAAATGTAATCAAGATTCCATCTTGAACATATTCAATCAAATTTCAACAAATGATCTTCTTGTAAGAACAATTGTCTACAATATGTTTATTAATATATATGCACCTTCATCATTCTGCATCTGAGCCAAATATAATAGATTTTATATCATTGTTATCTGCATTCGATCTAGATGATAAAAAAATTAGTTGATCATCATCATATTTTTTTCTATCAAATGTTGGATTTTAAATCAATGAAGATTTTTTATGCATGTCCGTTTTGATTGATTTGACCAAAAATTATTATTTGCATTGATTGGACTAATTATAATTTTGACTAAGTGGCAAAGAAAAAAACTAGAAGTTTCAAGGTATCTAATGGTTTGTCATCATCTCAACTTAGGAATGAGAAACTTCTAGAAGGTTCAAATAGACAAATGACATGTTGACATTTGATATTTCTTAATGTATATTAGTCATAAGTACCAAACTTAATCTTAGCAAAAGTAAGTGACAAAGTATATATAATAAGAGATCATTATCATTTTCAAATTAGTTACATGAAAAGGTAGATAATCAACTTACAAGCAAGTTTAAAGATATCTTTGTGTGATGACTTCAATAAAGAGTTTAGATTTGTAAAGTATCTTGAGCTGTCAATGAAAATTTGTTATGAGGAGAAAGATTGTATGACATATCCTTTAGACATAATCATGTAGGTGGAACATTCATGTTCTACCTACATGACTAGCTATCTTATAGCCATCTAATATAAATGTAAATGAAAGTCAACTTCAACATCACAAGTCTCTCAAATTTTTTTCTTGCACATGAAACATGTAAATGGTAAATGGGAACTAAATCCAACCTATATTCTTTGACACACATTTGTATACCATAAACACAAATATCTTACTACAACCTTGAAACAACTTTGCAATTTTTGCGAATTATCTTCTTGATGCAATTAATGGCAAGTGGAAATCTCCCACATGCTCATCTCTTACATGAAAAACCATCAACCGCCAGGTCTTTTTTCCACATGTTTGTCATACAAACACATACAAACACAAGCTCTTTGTTTGTGACTTGAAATCACAAGCATTTACTCCTTAGACCATTATCAAAAAATGCTTATTCCTTCTATTTTGGTTTCAAATATATTAAGGAATTACTAAGCTCATGTTTGACAGTAATGACATGTTCAATATTCAACCAATAATACTGAAAATTTCTCCCAAAAAAATGTTTTTTGATCTATTTAGATCAGAATATGATCACTTCTCAAACCAAATTTTCACTTATTGGTTTTTCAAACCTTATGCTCACAGCCCTTTCC